ATGAAAGAAGACTAGTAGTAGCTTACGTAAAGGGTGTGATGAAAAGGATTACTTAGTTAATTAGTGCTCAATTATCGATACGTAATAAGTCAGTTGCAAAGAGCGCTCTCTAAAGATGAACAACACGTGTTATTGGTTGGTTCAATGAATAGATACTCCTAACCGATCAAAGACAGTCTACCATAGAAGTCACTGATAGGATTTGTGAAAGTACAGGGGTTATCAGAACTAGTGAGATAAATATTTATTGACTTATTCCATTTTTATATATACTTAAACGTCCGGATCACGCCCCTCGTTCCTATCTTTCTTAATTACTCACAAAACGTTTTCCTTCTTCGGGGTATTAACCTATTATTTCCCAAAGCATATCCAACAATAAAAAACTAAGCCATTCTCAATATTATTTACGTGTCCTATCAGGTCTATTTACAACATAAGATGTACACAAATTAAATCGTATTTGGACAAAACACATATAACACGTTAGAGACAAAATGAATAACAATACTCCATCTCATTTACCCTATGTTTGCACGCACTGGCTCTGCTCTTCAATTTGCCGGAAGTTGCTTTGCTTGCACAACTATTGTCGCTATAGATGTGATAATCGTTTCCATAATATTTGACTTTGAGCCTTTTGGAAGTGGTCGAATGAAAGCCTTAGCGTGATCGAACTCTGCTGTGATCTAATTTGTATGAAAATCTTACGATACACACAACATTGGGTGTCATCATGGTTCCCAGCTACACGGTTTAAATAATTTTTCCTAAAATTCCCCATATAATCAATACACAGAATATAAAAATATCCATGACACTTGCTGGATGTTGAGTTTAGACGCGAATAATACATATTTCACCAAAAACCATAACGTCTTTTTTCTCCGTATTAATGATGTGCATTTTCAAGGAAGATATCTCCCATCAACTAATCCGGTGCAGGGATCATCAAAAAGGAAATAGCCATCTACGAACTACTCTGAGAGCCAGAACAGAGTGGGCAATCAGATCTCTTATGGATCATGTGTATATGCAGCTGATAGCGCTGTCACGTGGTTGCTAGCTACATCTATGAGCTGCGTTGCTTATTACGAATATAAATCACATACCTACTCACGTTACAGTTGAAGCTTTCTGTTTGAAAACGCAATTAAATTTGATTAAGCTGATGCTAAAAGCTATGGGTTAGGTTTGTGTGGGAACATCGGCATACGTAGCATCGATTCTCCTTTGTCTTCTGTTATCTTTCAGATATCTGACAATGTTATCGATCTCTACCGTTTGGTTATGTGGTCACGGGGCTGAAATGCATCAAATTCTATTGATTACACCGTTACATTGAGTTTTCAGTCAGCTTGAAACAACACATTGTATATCTGATAGACAAAAAACAAACCTCCAGAAAATATTTCTCACACAGAATCAGTCAAAATTAACAAATAATGAGGGATTTTATAACGAATAATTGTCTCAACAATTCGCTATTCATTTATGTATTACAAAAGCTACATGAAAACATTTCCCTAACAGGGAATTAAAATGTTCAGGTAAGATAAGACGTTCGCGATCTGTGTAAAATAAATTTTGTTGCATCTACTTATTCGGGGAATGAATTACTTGGTTTTCTCAAATGAAGTGAACCTGGATGTTTTGATTTGATAGCGGGTGCATGTGGTGGCCCCATGGTTCAGTCGCTGTCACTGGCGTGCTTTGGACCCTGTGATCCGAGGTTCGAGTCCCCTCACCACCACCCAGCTTTGGTGGTAAGCAGCTTCAATACCACGCCTGACCTAGTGGAGCCTTATGTGGTTCGCCACTTCAAGTTCCTGAACTGAGGTTGCCGGTTATCACTGAACGGCAGGTACTCATGCCTATGGGGTTCGCCCCGTCTGCTGTTCATCACAGATAGGTGTGTAATAAAAATGTACAGAGTAAAAAATCACTCAACGTACAATGCAAATCTTAGCTTATAAACTTGTTACCATGAAATGTGAATAAGCAGCGAAAATATATTGTGTGGCAGATAATGGAATATAACCGTTTCAAGTTTGGACTATTGGTAATAATCGGTTGATACAGTGGAATTTAAGGCCAAACGTGGACATCACCTCTGTTTGAGTATAGCGCATGCTCTACTAGGTAACCTATGAATTCATATTAGTCCCATTGATCTTTTCACTTTGGAATAACCCACTGGAAAAACAGGGGCATATGGAATCCAACAGATGGTATATAATTTGCCTACTCTGTCCGGTTTTCCTTAAAATCCATAGAAATCCACAAAATGAACTTTTAAAACTGGGTTTTCTCTTCCAGTTAACGCCGGTAGTGTCCATTTGTTGACTTGAATCCCGCCATGTTTACGGATCTTTTAACGATCCAATCAATTATGTAACTGATGCGCAAAGTTTGACAATATCTGTATAATGAGTACCTATCCATTGGTAAAGTATTCTTCGGTCAAACGCCCTTCATAAAGTAGGTTATTCAAATCCCACCATTGAAAAACATTTTTTTATTCTGAATAAACCATATCTTGATTAATTGAAACTGCTTATTTTGAAGTTCATTTTAAATCTTTGATTTTGTTGTGGAAGTTCATTTTCCTACTCACAGATTGTACTCCATGTTTGTTGCAAATATGTTGTCCCCTTTGAAACTCGCTTCTCTGGTCTGCTTTGAAATCAAGTGTTGTTAGCAGATCTCGAATCAACCGTGGGGAACAAGGCATGCGATCACTCTTGTCTGTGATGGAAATCCACAGTCTTATTTCTTTGGCATCTTTCAAAGTTTTAAATTCCAGAATATGCCTATTTTGACATGAGAACACACCAAAAGGTAAACACTTGTTTTTATTGATTCATCTTCTAGTCCGTACAGATCAACTAAGGAAATCGCATGTCTAACGGAAATAGTCATTCAGTCATTTAAAAGTCACGATGATTGATTGAAAGGGAGAGAAACGGGGTGTGAGGGGTGGTGCGAGATGTTTCAGCCCCCCTAGATCACCACAACCCTGCAATCAAACTGTAATTCGTCATTCGTGCGATCAATCTCCGGCCACGGCAGTTGAATCGCATGGGCCAATCGTTTTAGTGCACACAGATTGCGCTTGAATAAACGAATTCCGATCTCTTCCACAGTGACTAGGGTGTGAAGAAGCAGCGACTTGAATGGGTGCAATGGTACGCGGTAGATGACTTCGAAGGCTGATTCAGGCTTCACTTGTATTTGTATTGTATTTTTATTTGTATAATTTGTGCAAGCATATATGCTTACATTTCGGTTAAAAATGTACGCTATTTGTCACACAGAATGAAATAATAATAATAAAAACGAAAGGTAAAGTATATCGGTGGTATATGTTTCATGTACAAAAATTTTGACATAGTTCATTTGAGACCTGTTCCTTTTTGGAAATTAGTCGGGCCAAGTAGGGTACAGGGGAATTTTTATAAATGTTAATCTGAGACGGCTGTTGAAATGAAGAGCGTGTGGACGGATGGGAACGACAAAACAATAGATCAGGATGTATTGAATGAAGAGGGTCATCTAGAATCTTTTGAGCAACTTTAAAACAAGAGTTGTTGTGACCATCAATGAGTTCCGTGATTAGTAAATCGATTGGCATTAATGATGCACGACTGATTATCACCAAACCACGGCGAATTGTTTTTAAGTTTTGTTTTAAAAGACCGGGAAACACTACAGTGGAGCAATAAAGTAGAATCAGTAAAACGCATTGATGAACGAAAGATGACAGGACTGACTGTGGGGTTTCGGAATTGCTTGAGTTTGCGTAACTGAAAAGATAGGCGTCTCAGTTTTCCCATACAGTTGTAGATATGTGTAGACCAACGAAGGTTACTGTCGATGGTAACACCCAGGTACTTGACTGAGGTCATTCTGGATACGGGTTTACCGGTAAGGGTAGCAGAGTCTGTTGTAAATGAGGAGCGGGAAAGACTGAAAATGCACTCTACGCACTTAGATATGTTAAGACTGAGACCAGATTGGTCAGAAAAATGTTAGATTTGGGATAGGTTTTTAGTAAAAGAATGAAATTCCGAAGCATATGAAACTATCTAACACAGACCAATGTCACCAGCATACTTTTAGATGTGCACGGGGGTAGGACCGAAAGATCACTAATAAAGGCAGAAAAAGGATGAGAAAGAACATCATCTGGTGTTCCAGAATTGTTAACAAGAGGTTTTGATGTCCTCCTTCCTAATTAGATGCACTGGATCCTCTTTGTGAAATAGTCAGCAGGCCCTGAGAGCGGTTGTTTTGGAGTGCCAAAAGATTCAAGTTTGAGAAGAAGGGATGATCGGGAAACAGAATCAAACGCAGACGAATAATCAAGAAAAACACAACGGACAGACTTGACCAATGGTTCACTGATTTGCTGATAAAATGCACTAGAATGGATACGGCGTCCAATGTAGATCCGTTTGGTTTATATGCAAACTGAAGGGGGTTTTGGGGAAATGTGGTGTCTGACTGCAACCGACTCAGGATGGCTTTCCAGTTACCTTTAGAGCCGCTAAGGTCAGCGCGATAGGACGAAACCGTTTCGCAAGAACAGTTGAAGACGTGAATTTGAGGATCAGAATAATGGTCACTGGACGCCAAGATTGAGGAATCGACCGGGAAGATAGGGACTCATTGGCGATAGATGTCGTCATATTGGTTAGGGAAGTAGCTCCAAATTTCAGAAGTGCCGGAGGAAGACCATCAGGGCCTGCAGTAGAGGATGCTTTGCAGGATCGAAGAAGCTTAAAGATTAAATCATTGGAAAAAGGCACTGAACTGGATTAATTCCATAGGAATGAGGGAATCTGGTTATCCTTTGACGGGTGGATGAAAGCGGTGTTGAGGCTGCTGACATTCACAGAGGCATTGGAATGTTTTTTGTTCTGTCCACAGAGAAGGCCAATACCTTTCCATAAGAGCCTGGTGTTCTTTGTTTCTCAGAATTTGGACGGCGAAGATTACATTGAAGTACGTTATCTCGGACCTGATTAAATCAGAATAGTGCTTTACAAATGATGCTAGACGAGATTTGTAGGCCAGTACTTCCTACCTTCTCAGTGATTTCAAAAAGGTTGAGATAATTCTACCGTTACAGAAAAACAGGGTTTTCATTGGACAACTGAAGTTAAAAATCTATTTAATCGTATCAGTGAACAGATTGATAGATTTAAAAAGCGAAGGGCAAGAACCAAACCAAGACTGAACAATCGCAATAGAACGGTTGAGAAGAGAGCTACGGTTGGGTGAAAAGTCCCTCAGATGAAATTTGATCCGAGTAGAACGTGTGAATGCTTGATAAGCTTTGGTGGTAGGCAGCTCTGCTGTCGTCCGGTTCAATACCACGCCTAGCCTATCGGGGCCTTATGTGGTTCGCCACTCCAAGTTCCAGGGCTTAGGTTGCCGATTTCAACCACTGAACAGCAGGTCCTCGTGACTATGGGGTTTACCCCGTCTGCTGTTCATCACACCTAGGTGTGCAATAAAAAAAAGCAATGCGAGAATATACCTTTGGTCTAACAAGAAGAATACTATGGTCACTAGTAGAAACCGGGGCCATCAGTTTGAGAGAGAATAAGTTAGGATGGTTTGTGATCACTCTGTCCAGCACAGAACTACCTCTGGTAGGAGAATGAGAAAGGTCAGACAGACCAAACGGAAGCAGGGGAGAAATGCTTGCATGATTGAAATCACCAACATAAGTAAGTGAAGATTTTTCATCTAAAAATGAAACTAGAAACGGAATAGAAGAATCAAAGAAGGCAGAAATGTCTGTTCGAGGGAGATATATACACATTGGTGATGATCCTACTTATGTGACGAGAAAATTTAGGGTGACAACGAACAGACAAATAGTCAATGCATTTTTCAGAATAGTTATCTATAACTTCTGACTTGCCACACCGCCTCCGGTTTCTTTCCTACTTCGCTGTCTATCCTACCGGTAGCAATCAAACCCTTCTATTTGCATGAGAACGTCCTCAATGTTTTAATTCAGTCATTGGTGACCCGAGTCTGCTAGGTGAGCAACAGAAGCGCCTCCTGTGACACGTTTTCCATGGTGTTGAAGCCAGCGTGGACAGTGCTCTTTGATCCACTGAGACAGTTACCTTGCCGTTTGGCCAATGTAGGTTGCATTACTGAATGGCTGTCCCCTCTCAATATGCTTCTACCTTAGTTGATCTGTACAGGCTAGAAGATGAATCAATGAAAATAATTGTTCGCCTCTGAATGTATGTTCTCATCTTTAGAAGTACTCATCTATATTGGTGCTTCGATTTGTGCAATAACTAATATATGTACGATTTATTGATTTCGACGACGGCTGGTGACGCATCAACTGTAAGGTAACGGAAACTCAATTGAAAACATCATAAGAATGTATTGATAAAAATGACTCCTAGTCGCGGTTATCTCGGAGAATTTCCTTGTTAGTGATATATTTGAGGTACGTCAGCAGAACCATTTTTTGCGTCAAAGCAATTTTCAGGGAATTGAAGTCAATATGCTTTCTCCTTCATCCTGGAAATCCAATAGCTGATTGTCAAGCGTGCTGACAGTCACTGATCGAGGACAACGTTATGTNAATTTCACTGAATGTCACTCGCAGCGCGATTCGATTGACCCAACTTTGAGTCAAACCTCAAACTTAAAACTTCAGCTTAATTACAACACAAAACTTTGTAATCATACCTGACTGATTCCACACAGCTATGAACACTCAGGTTCCATCAACATTTGTAATTTACTTGTCCTTTTAGATTCTAGAGTCACCATAAAGAGTTTGAGAATATCCTAGGAACAAAACGTGTAAACAGAACAAAGTAGGTAAATCACTGCGTGATTGCTGAGGTAACGTGTTCATTTTCTTCTCATCACGGCTCAGGTTACATCCTCGGAGAGACCAACGAATGGAAACAATAATGCAATTATTCCCTTTAGTTGGTAAACGCCAGATTTCCAAGTGTGCATCATTTCTGTCAGACGTACTTTTGGAACGGTAAGGAGCATCAGAACACACAGGCAGTTTGCTTACTGTCTTTTATCTGACCCCTCATAGCGTCACAGGAATTTGGCATTTTGATTTATTTGAACTGACTGTTCTTCGGATTTCACCTTCACGCACACTCCTCAGTTCGTCCATTCAACCATGCACTTGGAAGCACTGACTCGAGTTTCACTCTTCTTAGAGCTCAATAGTAGTGCATATCCACCGTCCCGTCCGGAATATGAACTCCGGACTCATCGTATGGAAGGCATGCGCGTTACCACTGTGCCAACCAGCTCATGTACAACTGATGAGCTCTAAGGAGAGCGAACCTCGAGTCTGGTGCTTTCTAGTGTATGGTTGGATCGATGAACTGAGGATTGTGCGAAGTCCGAAGGATAGCCAGTTCCAACCAATCAATATCAATTATCCCGGACCACTACTCACAAGTAACTGTGAGTTAAATGTGGATGAAG